TCAGTCTATAGTCCATAATATAGTCAGCCTATAATCCAGACTATAGTTAGTCTATAGTTAGTCTATAGTAAAATCTATAGTCCAGACTATAGAACATAGTCGGTTTATAATCCAAACTATAGTCGGTCTATAGTCCATACTATAATCAATCTATAGTCCAGCCTATAAGCATTCTATAGTTCCGCCTATAGTCATTCTTTAGACAAGATTATAGTCAGTCTTAGACTAGACTATAGTCAGTTTATGGACTAGTTAGTTAGTTAGTCTATAGTCCAGCTTGTACTTAGTTTAAGATTCAAACTATTAGCAGAGTTTTTTAAATTTGTTACTAAATTTATTAAAAACAAACCTTTGATTTTGTCACAAATATTTTGCATACATTTTTTGTTTAATTAAAACTTCAACATTCCAATATTAATTACTAATCTCAACACGCCACTGTTTTAGTTATAACTTCTGCTCTTATTCATCATTCCATTCAATGGATAAAGTATTACATTAACGGTCAATGTTCAATTTGACATAACCTTCGTTTAATTATTTTTGTTTGAAATCTAAATACAAAAATTTATTAGATAATATTAAAAAATATAATAATAAATAAAATCCGAAAGTAAAGGTGAAAATTTCTACAATAAGAAATCTATACAAATGATATGTTAATTTAATAGAAAAAACCATAATGATGCTACAATAAATCCCAAATAAAAAAAGATGAACGAACTTTCTTTTTCTACTCTTAATACCAAAAAAAAAAAAAAAATTAACACAGTCACAAATTTCTACAAACTCTTACAAACAAAAAAAAGAAAAAGTCATAAAATATTTTTGTGTTAAATCAGAAAAAAATCTCTAGTGAAAAATTAAAACAAATGCATACGTGTGTATAACAAATTTGATCACAAACAAAAAACTGATCTAACGCTATGCAGTAGAAAGTCTCTTGAACTTTTTGAATATTTTTGTTATTTTTGTAAACTCTTAATTATCATGCAACCTGTTTATATTTCCCCTCCTCTTACCATTAGTCTTTTTGTCCCGTATGTAGGCCAATATTATTGAACCGGAAACCTACGTAAAAATACTTAGCCACACAATGTAATAAACTATTATAGTGTAACATTATACATACTGCTAACTAAAGATGAAACCAAAACTTGGAAAAAGAAAACAATAACAATACAAATTTTATTGTTTATACCGAAGAGACGAACAGTTACAACATACACAGCGAAGCCAATGACCGACCTGTTAAACCAGGCATGGCAAATTGTAACTAGACTACTTACAGACTGAACTGTAGGCAGGCTATATAATATTTACTATATAGACTGCTATAGTCTGGACTTTATACTGACTATAGCCTGGACTATAGGCTGACTATAATCTGGACTATATCCTGACTATATAAGCTGAATATTATCTGGACTATAGTCTGGACTATAGACAGACTATAGTCTGGACTATAGACAGACTATGGTCTGGACTATAGACTGACTATAGTCTGGACTATAGACTGACTATGGTCTGGACTATAGACTAACTATACTCTGGACTATAGACTTACTATAGTCTGGACTATAGACTGACTATAGTCTGGACTATAGACTGACTATAGTCTGGACTATAGACTGACTATAGTCTGGACTATAGACTGACTATAGTCTGGACTATAGACTGACTATAGTCTGGACTATAGACTGACTATAGTCTGGACTATAGACTGACTATAGGCTAGACTACAGACTGACTATAGGCTGGACTATAGAATGCTCATACGCTGGACTATAGATTGACTATAGTATGGACTATAGTCTGGACTATAGACCGACTATAGTGTAGATAATAAACCGACTATGATCTATAGTCTGGTCTATAGACTGAGTATGGTCTAGACTATAGACTGACTATAGTCTGGACTATAGACTGACTATAGTCTGGACTATAGACTGACTATAGTCTGGTCTATAGAGTGACTATAGTCTGGACTATAGACTGACTATAGTCTTGACTTACTATAGTTTGGACTATAGACTGACTATAGTCTGGACTATAGACTGACTATAGTCTGGACTATAGACTGACTATAATCTGGACTATAGACTGACTATAGTCTGGGCTATAGACTGACTATAGTCTGGGCTATAGACTGACTATAGTCTGGACTACAGACTGACTATAGTCCGGACTATAGACTGACTATAGTCTGTAATATAGACTGACTATAGTTTGGACTATAGACTAACTATAGTCTGGACTATAAACTGACTATAGTCTGGACTATAGACTGGACTATAGACTGACTATAGTCTGGACCATAGACTGACTATAGTCTGGACTATAGACGGACTATAGTCTGGACTAGAGACTGACTATAGTCTGGACTATAGACTGATTATGGACTGACTATAGACTGACTATAGTCTGGACTATAGACTGAATATAGTCTGGACTATATACTGACTATAGTCTGGACTATAGACTGACTATAGTCTGGACTATAGACTGACGAAGATTTACTATAGGCTGGACTATAGACTGATTATAGCCTGTATTAGAGGTTACTGACCTTAGTCTGGATTAGAGACTGACTGCACTATAGACTGATTATAGTCTATTATCTATAGTTTTTTTCTAGTCCAGAGTAGTATAGGTAGGTCGACTACCTCTAAACATTATTCATTTTCATAACTTTAAAAATCCCTAAGTTTCTACTTAAATTAAATAGAATATGTTATCTTTGTTTAACAACAACAAGAAGTTTTTATTTTTATCTGTTTTTGTTTTGTGCTTTTCATGGAAGAGAGGGAGAGGGAGCTTTTTTGTATTGATCTTCTAAATTGACTGTTATTTTTCAAACTTTGCTAAAGCACTATTACTTTGTAGAGTTTTTGTTAAAGCATACTAAATACGTTGCCTATTTTAAGGCTGTTAATTATATAAAAATAATTTAATCTTAAATTAAGAATAAGGAACGTTATTAACGCTTAAAAGCTGCAAGATTTTCTAGTTTAAATCACGAAAATAGCCCGATCATTGATCATTTCTTTTATAACAAAAAAAAAAAAATTGGATCATAATTTGTATACAGACTATAATCTGGACTATAATCAGACTATAAACAGACTATAGTCTGTACTATAGACAGACTATAGTCTGGACTATAGACCGACTATAGTCTGGACTATAGACAGACTATAGACATAGACTATAGTCTGGATTATAGACAGACTATAGTATGGACTATAGACAGACTATAGTCTGGACCATAGAAGTAGACTGTAGTCTGAAATGTAGACAGACTATAGTCTGGATTATAGACAGACTATAGTCTGGACTATAGACCGATTATAGACCGACTATAGTCTGGACTATAGACAGACTATAGGCATAGACTGTAGTCTGGACTATAGACAGACTATAGTATGGACTATAGACAGACTATAGTTTGGACCATAGAAGTAGACTAGTCTGAAATATAGACAGACTATAGTCTGGATTATAGACAGACTATAGTCTGGATTATAGACAGACTATAGTCTGGACTATAGACAGACTATAGTCTGGACTATAGCCAGATTATAGTCTGGACCATAGAAGTAGACTGTAGTCTGAAATGTAGACAGACTATAGTCTGGATTATAGACAGACTATAGTCTGGACTATAGACTGAATATAGTCTGGACTATAGTCTAGACAGACTATAGACATAGACTGTAGTCTGGACTATAGACAGACTATAGTATGGACTATAGACAGACTATAGTTTGGACCATAGAAGTAGACTGTAGTCTGAAATATAGACAGACTATAGACTGGATTATAGACAGACTATAGTCTGGATTATAGACAGACTATAGTCTGGACTATAGACAGACTATAGTCTGGATTATAGACAAACTATAGTCTGGACTATAGACAGACTATAGTATGGACTATAGACAGACTATAGTCTAGACTATAGACAGACTATAGTCTGGACTATAAACAGACTATAGTCTGGACTATAGACAGACTATAGTATAGTAGACATAGACTGTAGTCTGGACTATAGACAGACTATAGTCTGGACTATAGACAGACTATAGTCTGGACTGTAGACAGACTTTAGTCTGGATTATATACAGACTATAGTCTGGACTATAGCCAGATTATAGTCTGGACTATAGACAGACTATAGTCTGGACAGTAGACAGACTATAGTCTGGACTATACACAGACTATAGACGGACTATACTCGGGACTATGGACCGACTATTGTCTGGACTATAGACGGGCTATAGTATGGACCATACAAATAGACTGCAGTCTGAAATATAGACAGACTATAGTCTGGACTATAGACAGACTATAGTATGGACTATAGACGGACTATAGTCTGGACTATAGACGGACTATAGTCTGGACCATAGACATAGACTGTAGTCTGGACTATAGACAGACTATAGTCTGGACTATAGACAGACTGTAGTCTGGACTATAGAAAGACTGTAGTCTGGACTATAGTCTGGACTATAGAAAGACTGTAGTCTGGACTATAGTCTGGACTATAGACAGACTGTAGTCTGGACTATAGTCTGGACTATAGACAGACTGTAGTCTGGACTATAGTCTGGACTATAGACAGACTGTAGTCTGGACTATAGTCTGGACTGTAGTCAGACTATAGTCTGGACTATACACAGACTATAGTCTGGATTATACACAGACTATAGACAGACTATAGACGGACTATACTCTGGACTATTGACAATATTCCAGACTATAGTCTGGACTGTAGACAGTCTGTAGTCTGGAATATAGACAGACTGTAGTCTGGACTATAGACAGACTATAGTCTGGACTATACACAGACTATAGTCTGGATTATACACAGACTTTAGACAGACTATAGACGGACTATAGTCTCGAATATAAACAGACTATAGTCTGGCCTATGGATAGACTTTAGTCTTTTTTCCCCTCGAATTAAAAGAATTGGATATATTTTTTTTTATTAAAATTAATTTTTATTTGTTATTTATATAAATTTTGTTTTTATATAATATTTATAAACATTTTATATGACTTAATATAAAATAAATGTTTTTTAGAGCGTTTTGTTTTTTCGTAAAATAATATTAACTAAATAAGTTCGTTAAAATAACAAGATTTTTTGCTTTTAAAAAAAGTTCAGAAAAGTAAGAGAAAACAACCAAGTAAAAGAGAAAATTTTTAAAAATAAAAAATGAATTTTATAAAAAAGAAAATAATCGTTCTTAAACTAAAACTAAACAAATTATGAATGACAATTTGTTTTTTGGGGAGGGGGACAAAGTTAAATAATATGTTTTTCTTTTCTTCTACTAAATGTTTCCCTTAATTAAATAAAAAACCATTTATTGTCATTAATTAATAATAAAATATATAAAAAAATTATAAAATAAAATAGAGGTAGAAATGATTTAATAAAAAAATGTTTTATATAAAAAAATAATATAAACTATAAAATAACATAGACAGTACAGATGCACACACACACACGCGTAATTAATGAAAGTATGAATGTTGTAATTGGTATAATTGGTTCTACAGCCAAACCAGGAAACCCCAGATGACTAAAGCCAAAGGAAAACCTATAGCGAAACCAAATAAGGGCACACAAATGATGGAGATAATAGCTAACATGACAACAAAACCTAAATAGTAGAGGACATTGAATCTAAAAAGAATTAAGACAGATATTATTAGTTAAAGTTAGATAACCGATAATAAGAAATACTTACGCCTTCCAGTAGTTACGATGCCATGAGGTGGTCACTGCAGACTCTTTGAAATAGAAACGTCTAATGCCTATTAGTACACGATCCAAGAATTCTACCCAATCACATTGGCTAGAATCGAAGTTGTAACGTTTACGATCCGATTCATGTACCAAGTTCATAATGCGCAGAGCATTCTTTAAATCATAACGGAAATCTTTGTCTAGGAAATAGTCGAAGGCTTTGGTACCCTTGTGGAAGACACGCATGTAGTCGAGGGCTCTAAAAAGAGTTAAAAATTCGAAAAAATAAGTTAAATATTTTATGATTTTGGTCTATAGACTCTTCAAATGATTAGTTTAAAATCTAGTCTAGAGTCTATTCTAAAGTCTAAATTAAAATCTGGTCTAAAGTCTAGTCTAAATTCTAGTCCAATATCTAATCTGAAGTATAATGAAAAGTCTAGTCTGAAGTCTGGTCTAAAGTCTAGTCTACAGTCTAGCCTAAAGTCTAGACTAAAGTCTAGTTCAAAATCTATTCCAAAATCTAGTGTAAAGTCTAGTCTAAAGTTTAATGTTTAATCTAAAGTCTAGTCTAAAGTCTAGTCTGAAGTCTAGTCTAAAGTCTAGTCTAAATTCTAGTCTAAAGCCTAGTCTATAGTCTAGTCTAAAGTCTAGTCTAAAGTTTAGCCTAAAGTCTAGTCTAAAGCATAGTCTAAAGTGTAGTCTAAAGTCTAGTCTAAAGTCTAGTCTAAAGGCTAGTCTAAAGTCTAGTTTAAAGTCTAGTCTAAAGTCTAGTCTAAAGTCTAGTTTAATGTTTAGTCTAAAGTCTAATCTAATGTCTCGCCTAAAGTCGAATCTAATGTCTCGTTTAAAGTCTAGTCTATTGTCTAGTCTATAGTCTAGTCTATAGTCTAGTCTATAGTCTAGTCTATAGTCTAGTCTATAGTCTAGTCTATAGTCTAGTCTATAGTCTAGTCTATAGTCTAGTCTATAGTCTAGTCTATTGTCTAGTCTATAGTCTAGTCTATTGTCTAGTCTATAGTCTAGTCTATAGTCTAGTCTATAGCCTAGTCTATAGTCTAGTCTATAGTCTAGTCTATAGGCTAGTCTATAGTCTAGTCTATAGTCTAGTCTATAGTCTAGTCTATAGTCTAGTCTATAGTCTAGTCTATAGTCTAGTCTATAGTCTAGTCTATAGTCTAGTCTATAGTCTAGTCTATAGTCTAGTCTATAGTCTAGTCTATAGTCTAGTCTATAGTAGTCTATAGTCTAGTCTATAGTCTAGTCTATAGTCTAGTCTATAGTCTAGTCTATAGTCTAGTCTATAGTCTAGTCTATAGTCTAGTATATAGTCTAGTCTATAGTCTATAGTCTAGTCTAGTCTATAGTCTAGTCTATAGTCTAGTCTATAGTCTAGTCTATAGTCTAGTCTATAGTCTAGTCTATAGTCTAGTCTATAGTCTAGTCTATAGTCTAGTCTATAGTCTAGTCTATAGTCTAGTCTATAGTCTAGTCTATAGTCTAGTCTATAGTCTAGTCTATAGTCTAGTCTATAGTCTAGTCTATAGTCTAGTCTCTAGTCTATAGTCTAGTCTATAGTCTAGTCTATAGTCTAGTCTATAGTCTAGTCTAGTCTAGTCTATAGTCTAGTCTATAGTCTAGTCTATAGTCTAGTCTATAGTCTAGTCTATAGTCTATAGTCTAGTCTATAGTCTAGTCTATAGTCTAGTCTATAGTCTAGTCTATAGTCTAGTCTATAGTCTAGTCTATAGTCTAGTCTATAGTCTAGCTATAGTCTAGTCTATAGTCTAGTCTATAGTCTAGTCTATAGTCTAGTCTATAGTCTAGTCTATAGTCTAGTCTATAGTCTAGTCTATAGTCTAGTCTATAGTCTAGTCTATAGTCTAGTCTATAGTCTAGTCTATAGTCTAGTCTATAGTCTAGTCTATAGTCTAGTCTATAGTCTAGTCGTCTAGTCTCTATAGTCTAGTCTATAGTCTAGTCTATAGTCTAGTCTATAGTCTAGTCTATAGACTATAGATACTAGACTATAGTCTAGTCTATAGTCTAGTCTATAGTCTATAGTCTAGTCTATAGTCATGTCTAGTCTATAGTCTAGTCTATAGTCATGTCTAGTCTATAGTCTAGTCTATAGTCTAGTCTATAGTCTAGTCTATAGTCTAGTCTATAGTCTAGTCTATAGTCTAGTCTATAGTCTAGTCTATAGTCTAGTCTATAGTCTAGTCTATAGTCTAGTCTATAGTCTAGTCTATAGTCTAGTCTATAGTCTAGTCTATAGTCTAGTCTATAGTCTAGTCTATAGTCTAGTCTATAGTCTAGTCTATAGTCTAGTCTATAGTCTAGTCTATAGTCTAGTCTATAGTCTAGTCTATAGTCTAGTCTATAGTCTAGTCTATAGTCTAGTCTATAGTCTAGTCTATAGTCTAGTCTATAGTCTAGTCTATAGTCTAGTCTATAGTCTAGTCTATAGTCTAGTCTATAGTCTAGTCTATCTAGTCTATAGTCTAGTCTATAGTCTAGTCTATAGTCTAGTCTATTGTCTAGTCTATGTCTAGTCTATAGTCTAGACTCTAGTCTAGTCCTATAGTCTAGTCTATAGTCTAGTCTATAGTCTAGTCTATAGTCTAGTCTATAGTCTAGTCTATAGTCTAGTCTATAGTCTAGTCTATAGTCTAGTCTTAGTCTAGTCTATAGTCTAGTCTATAGTCTAGTCTATAGTCTAGTCTATAGTCTAGTCTATAGTCTAGTCTATTAGTCTATAGTCTGTCTATAGTCTAGTCTATAGTCTAGTCTATAGTCTAGTCTATAGTCTAGTCTATAGTCTAGTCTATAGTCTAGTCTATAGTCTAGTCTATAGTCTAGTCTATAGTCTAGTCTATAGTCTAGTCTATAGTCTAGTCTATAGTCTAGTCTATAGTCTAGTCTATAGTCTAGTCTATAGTCTAGTCTATAGTCTAGTCTATAGTCTAGTCTATAGTCTAGTCTATAGTCTAGTCTATATCTTGTCTTAGTCTAGTCTATAGTCTAGTCTATAGTCTAGTCATAGTCTAGTCTATAGTCTAGTCTATACTCTAGTCTATAGTCTAGTCTAAGTCTAGTCTATAGTCTAGTCTATAGTCTAGTCTATAGTCTAGTCTATAGTCTATAGTCTAGTCTATAGTCTAGTCTATAGTCTAGTCTATAGTCTAGTCTATAGTCTAGTCTATAGTCTAGTCTATAGTCTAGTCTATAGTCTAGTCTATAGTCTAGTCTATAGTCTAGTCTATAGTCTAGTATAGTCTAGTCTATAGTCTAGTATAGTCTAGTCTATAGTCTAGTCTATAGTCTAGTATAGTCTAGTCTATAGTCTATAGTCTAGTCTATAGTCTAGTCTATAGTCTAGTCTATAGTCTAGTCTATAGTCTAGTCTATAGTCTTGTCTATAGTCTAGTCTATAGTCTTGTCTATAGTCTAGTCTATAGTCTAGTCTATAGTCTAGTCTATAGTCTAGTCTATAGTTTAGTCTATAGTCTAGTCTATAGTCTAGTCTAGTCTATAGTCTAGTCTATAGTCTAGTCTATAGTCTAGTCTATAGTCTATAGTCTAGTCTATAGTCTAGTCTATAGTCTAGTCTAGTCTAGTCTATAGTCTAGTCTGTAGTCTAGTCTATAGTCTAGTCTATAGTCTAGTCTATAGTCTAGTCTATAGTCTAGTCTATAGTCTAGTCTATAGTCTTGTCTATAGTCTAGTCTATAGTCTAGTCTATAGTCTAGTCTATAGTCTAGTCTATAGTCTAGTCTATATAGTCTATAGTATAGTCTAGTCTATAGTCTAGTCTATAGTCTAGTCTATAGTCTAGTCTATAGTCTAGTCTATAGTCTAGTCTATAGTCTAGTCTATAGTCTAGTCTATAGTCTAGTCTATAGTCTAGTCTATAGTCTAGTCTATAGTCTAGTCTATAGTCTAGTCTATAGTCTAGTCTATAGTCTAGTCTATAGTCTAGTCTATAGTCTAGTCTATAGTCTAGTCTATAGTCTAGTCTATAGTCTAGTCTATAGTCTAGTCTATAGTCTAGTCTATAGTCTAGTCTATAGTCTAGTCTATAGTCTAGTCTATAGTCTAGTCTATAGTCTAGTCTATAGTCTAGTCTATAGTCTAGTCCATAGTCTAGTCCATAGTCTAGTCTATAGTCTAGTCTATAGTCTAGTCTATAGTCTAGTCTATAGTCTAGTCTATAGTCTAGTCTATAGTCTAGTCTATAGTCTAGTCTATAGTCTAGTCTATAGTCTAGTCTATAGTCTAGTCTAAGTCTAGTCTATAGTCTAGGCTATAGTCTAGTCTATAGTCTAGTCTATAGTCTATAGTCTAGTCTATATCTAGTCTATAGTCTAGTCTATAGTCTAGTCTATAGTCTAGTCTATAGTCTAGTCTATAGTCTAGTCTATAGTCTATAGTCTAGTCTATAGTCTATAGTCTAGTCTATAGTCTAGTCTATAGTCTAGTCTATAGTCTAGTCTATAGTCTAGTCTATAGTCTAGTCTATAGTCTTGTCTATAGTCTAGTCTATAGTCTTGTCTATAGTCTAGTCTATAGTCTAGTCTATAGTCTAGTCTATAGTCTAGTCTATAGTTTCTATCTAGTCTATAGTCTAGTCTAGTCTATAGTCTAGTCTATAGTCTAGTCTATAGTCTAGTCTATAGTCTAGTCTATAGTCTAGTCTATAGTCTAGTCTATAGTCTAGTCTATAGTCTAGTCTATAGTCTAGTCTGTAGTCTAGTCTATAGTCTAGTCTATAGTCTAGTCTATAGTCTAGTCTATAGTCTAGTCTATAGTCTAGTCTATAGTCTTGTCTATAGTCTAGTCTATAGTCTAGTCTATAGTCTAGTCTATAGTCTAGTCTATAGTCTAGTCTATAGTCTATAGTCTATAGTCTAGTCTATAGTCTAGTCTATAGTCTAGTCTATAGTCTAGTCTATAGTCTAGTCTATAGTCTAGTCTATAGTCTAGTCTATAGTCTAGTCTATAGTCTAGTCTATAGTCTAGTCTATAGTCTAGTCTATAGTCTAGTCTATAGTCTAGTCTATAGTCTAGTCTATAGTCTAGTCTATAGTCTAGTCTATAGTCTAGTCTATAGTCTAGTCTATAGTCTAGTCTATAGTCTAGTCTATAGTCTAGTCTATAGTCTAGTCTATAGTCTAGTCTATAGTCTAGTCTATAGTCTAGTCTATAGTCTAGTCTATAGTCTAGTCTATAGTCTAGTCCATAGTCTAGTCCATAGTCTAGTCTATAGTCTAGTCTATAGTCTAGTCTATAGTCTAGTCTATAGTCTAGTCTAAAGTCTAGTCTATAGTCTAGTCTATAGTCTAGTCTATAGTCTAGTCTATAGTCTAGTCTATTGTCTAGTCTATAGTCTAGTCTATAGTCTAGTCTATAGTCTAGTCTATAGTCTAGTCTATAGTCTAGTCTATAGTCTAGTCTATAGTCTAGTCTATAGTCTAGTCTGTAGTCTAGTCTATAGTCTAGTCTATAGTCTAGTCTATAGTCTAGTCTATAGTCTAGTCTAAAGTCTAGTCTATAGTCTAGTCTATAGTCTAGTCTATAGTCTAGTCTATAGTCTAGTCTATTGTCTAGTCTATAGTCTAGTCTATAGTCTAGTCTATAGTCTAGTCTATAGTCTAGTCTATAGTCTAGTCTATAGTCTAGTCTATAGTCTAGTCTATAGTCTAGTCTATAGTCTAGTCTATAGTCTAGTCTATAGTCTAGTCTATAGTCTAGTCTATAGTCTAGTCTATAGTCTAGTCTATAGTCTAGTCTATAGTCTAGTCTATAGTCTAGTCTATAGTCTAGTCTATAGTCTAGTCTATTGTCTAGTCTATAGTCTAGTCTATAGTCTAGTCTATAGTCTAGTCTATAGTCTAGTCTATAGTCTAGTCTATAGTCTAGTCTATAGTCTAGTCTGTAGTCTAGTCTATAGTCTAGTCTATAGTCTAGTCTATAGTCTAGTCTATAGTCTAGTCTATAGTCTAGTCTATAGTCTAGTCTATAGTCTAGTCTATAGTCTAGTCTATAGTCTAGTCTATAGTCTAGTCTATAGTCTAGTCTATAGTCTAGTCTATAGTCTAGTCTATAGTCTAGTCTATAGTCTAGTCTATAGTCTAGTCTATTGTCTAGTCTATAGTCTAGTCTATAGTCTAGTCTATAGTCTAGTCTATAGTCTAGTCTATAGTCTAGTCTATAGTCTAGTCTATAGTCTAGTCTGTAGTCTAGTCTATAGTCTAGTCTATAGTCTAGTCTATAGTCTAGTCTATAGTCTAGTCTATAGTCTAGTCTATAGTCTTGTCTATAGTCTAGTCTATAGTCTAGTCTATAGTCTAGTCTATAGTCTAGTCTATAGTCTAGTCTATAGTCTAGTCTATAGTCTAGTCTATAGTCTAGTCTATAGTCTAGTCTATAGTCTAGTCTATAGTCTAGTCTATAGTCTAGTCTATTGTCTAGTCTATAGTCTAGTCTATAGTCTAGTCTATAGTCTAGTCTATAGTCTAGTCTATAGTCTAGTCTATAGTCTAGTCTATAGTCTAGTCTGTAGTCTAGTCTATAGTCTAGTCTATAGTCTAGTCTATAGTCTAGTCTATAGTCTAGTCTATAGTCTAGTCTATAGTCTTGTCTATAGTCTAGTCTATAGTCTAGTCTATAGTCTAGTCTATAGTCTAGTCTATAGTCTAGTCTATAGTCTATCTATAGTCTAGTCTATAGTCTAGTCTATAGTCTAGTCTATAGTCTAGTCTATAGTCTAGTCTATAGTCTAGTCTATAGTCTAGTCTATAGTCTAGTCTATAGTCTAGTCTATAGTCTAGTCTATAGTCTAGTCTATAGTCTAGTCTATAGTCTAGTCTATAGTCTAGTCTATAGTCTAGTCTATAGTCTAGTCTATAGTCTAGTCTATAGTCTAGTCTATAGTCTAGTCTATAGTCTAGTCTATAGTCTAGTCTATAGTCTAGTCTATAGTCTAGTCTATAGTCTAGTCTATAGTCTAGTCTATAGTCTAGTCTATAGTCTAGTCTATAGTCTAGTCTATAGTCTAGTCCATAGTCTAGTCCATAGTCTAGTCTATAGTCTAGTCTATAGTCTAGTCTATAGTCTAGTCTATAGTCTAGTCTAAAGTCTAGTCTATAGTCTAGTCTATAGTCTAGTCTATAGTCTAGTCTATAGTCTAGTCTATTGTCTAGTCTATAGTCTAGTCTATAGTCTAGCCTATAGTCTACTCTATAGTCTAGTCTATAGTCTAGTATATAGTCTTAAAGATATAGACTAGACATCAAGTTTATGTCTTAAGTCTTTTCTGTTGAGTTTCAAAACAAATATGGCGCCTTTAAAAAAACAAAGTTTTTGTCTTAAGTCTTTCTTGTCCAATACTACACTGACAAAGTTTGTGTCTTAAATCTCTATATGTGGAAAGAGCGTAACAAATGAAAGTTTGTGTCCTAAGTTTTTCGTTTAAGTTTTAAAAAACTCTATCATTTCTAGCACGATTTTATTTAATTTTGAATGAATTTAAGAGGTTTACAGAATATTATCTCCTGTAAGTACTTACGTGTGCTGTGGCATACCCAATCCAAATAATTTCTCTGGTATAATGAAAACCATCGCTGGCAGTATGTGGAACAAGTAGAAGAATAGATTATAACGCCAACCATTACGCAATATGGCCTTTGGTTTCCAAACAAAATTATTCGGTGGATGTCTCTCAACGCTGGCATTAACAATTTTACAGAACTCAGCCAATGTCAAGGGGTTAACCTCACCCGAAGTACAATGTATAACCTCCGGCTTTTCGATATGTCTAGTGCCGACATACCAGCCCATGATTAATGAAGAGTTAATAACATAATCACAGGGTATGATGTCAATGACGGCAGAAGCCTTGCCACACATGGTGCGGAAAATGCCCTTAATGAAACCAGCTAAAAAGCCCAAATGGCCCGAATTGGCACTGCCCACCCAACCTTCGGTAGGTTTTTCCCAGGTGCCGTAAACTAGTAATATAAAAATATTAATTTAGAAAATTCTATTTTCTTTATAATTTATCTCACTCACCTATTGAGGGTCTTACAATGGCCGCTGGCATACCCTTCATCTCTGCCATTAACAAATTTTCCGAAAGATTTTTCGTAAACGTATACGTATTTGGATGATCACATATATATTCTTTGCACTTTTCATGTGTAAAATTCTCCCATTTACTATCATCTTCAGCCATTTTCATCATTTCATAAGGATCAAATTTTGATTTGTATACCTCTTCCACTATCAAACCCCGATTATTACTGTTACAGAATGCTGTGGAGCAATAAATATAGGCCGACAAGTTTTTCACTCTCTTAGCCAGCTCTATGGTACGCATCGTACCAGTTAAATTTGTTTTTATGGCGGTACGTAAGGGAGAGCTAAATTTAATGGTGGCGGCACTGTGATAGATGATATTAACACGATCGATAAGTTCCTGCAGGACTTCATCGCTAAAACAGAAATTGACTTCGCTTAATTCTCCTACGACAGGTTTGACTTTTGCCAAAGATTTTTCATCGTATTTTTTGAAAATCTGTAGGAACAAATTAAAAGAAAATATGATTTTTATTAGTTTATTTGCAAGAAAATATTAAGGTGTTAAATGACCAAAGGCGTTTAATTGTTTATTAATTAGTGGTTGGAGTATTTAAGATTTTTTGTTTGGTTTACTTATTAACACTTGTCGTCTGATTGAAAGCAGATCTTAAATTTGATGCTACAAGTCAATTGAGTGGTAATAAATAGATACATTAATGGTTAAATGGAAACCTATAGACTAGATTATAGACTAAACTATAGACTGGACTTTAGACTAAACTGTAGGCTAGACTACAGACTAGATTATATACTAGACCAAAGACTAAACAATCGACTAAATAATAGACTAGACTATAGGCTAGAATATAGACTAGACCATAGACAATAGACTAGACTATAGACTAGACTATAGACTAGACTATAGACTAGACTATAGACTAGACTATAGACTAGACTATAGACTAGACTATAGACTAGACTATAGACTAGACTATAGACTAGACTATAGACTAGACTATAGACTAGACTATAGACTAGACTATAGACTAGACTATAGACTAGACTATAGACTAGACCAGCGGTTCCCACGGTTTTTTACTTCGTGGACCCCTTGAGAAATTTATTTAATTTCACGGACCCCATACATATTTTGATATCTTATTGTTATAAATAATTGTTCATCCGAAAATTGTCTTAGCCCAGGTCCATAAACCCTATAAAATATTCCCGTACATTGAGAATATTTAGTATTTCGGAGATGTTTTCAAGTGCATGGTTTTAAATATAGAATGACTTCTAACATGATGTTTAATTTTATGATCGTGAGAGCTTTCATGTTCATTTCTCGTCAAGGTAGCGAAAAGGTTTCTTTATCAAGTATTGTCGACATGTGCTTAAAGAGTCATGTTTCCAAATTTTTTTGCGATTGCATAGGAGTGAGCTGAGTATGTAAGCTAAGTTTTCGGGAAAACATGTGAAAGTTAGACTTCTTCGATGTTGTTGCGGAATGCGTTACCCACATAAAATATGACCTGAACTCTTTGCGAATGTACTGTGAATTTGGATCTTAAATTTGAATTTTAAAATACCTACGAATTATTTCACTGCGTGGTTTTGACTATTTACGCAAAACGCTATGAATTTTCTGATGTTGATTTAATAATATTGGACAACAAAATGAAGTTAAAATCTGTGTATCACGTCGGAATGGAATATTTATATTTAAAATTAACTAGATTAACACTTTTGCTTCCAATTTAAAAAAATATTATGAAATGTGACCTAACTTCATATGCCGGGATACCAGTATCAGTATTTAATTCTAAGGCAAATCATTATCCGTCTGATATTAAAACTTTTATTTCGATACATATACATTTATAAAAATTACAAATCACGTAATACTTTACTTTATAAAAGTGAAACAATAAATTTGTAGGGCCTAGCTTCATCCTGATAAACGACCGAAACAATAAAATTCAAAAAGTCACCAACAAATCTGGGATTATTGAATAAAAATTGTGTATTTTGGTATTTATGAAAAATTTGGAGATATTTTTAATATTTTCTAACATATAGAGAATATTTTTTATTCATGATATTTTTCGTTCGTCTTCGCGGACCCCCTAGGATTTTGCTACGGGCCACTAGGGGTCCGCGGACCCCCTTTTGGGAACCGTTGGACTAGACTATAGACTAGACTATAGACTAGACTATAGACTAGACTATAGACTAGACTATAGACTAGACTATAGACTAGACTATAGACTAGACTATAGACTAGACTATAGACTAGACTATAGACTAGACTATAGACTAGACTATAGACTAGACTATAGACTAGACTATAGACTAGACTATAGACTAGACTATAGACTAGACTATAGACTAGACTATAGACTAGACTATAGACTAGACTATAGACTAGACTATAGACTAGACTATAGACTAGACTATAGACTAGACTATAGACTAGACTATAGACTAGACTATAGACTAGACTATAGACTAGACTATAGACTAGACTATAGACTAGACTATAGACTAGACTATAGACTAGACTATAGACTAGACTATAGACTAGACTATAGACTAGACTATAGACTAGACTATAGACTAGACTATAGACTAGACTACTATAGACTAGACCATAGACTAGACTATAGACTATACTATAGACTAGACTATAGACTAGAGTATAGACTAGACTATAGACTAGACTATAGACTAGACTATAGACTAGACTATAGACTAGACTATAGACTAGACTATAGACTAGACTATAGACTAGACTATAGACTAGACTATAGACTAGACTATAGACTAGACTATAGACTAGACTATAGACTAGACTATAGACTAGACTATAGACTAGACTATAGACTAGACAACTGTAGACTAGACTATAGACTAGACTACTGTAGACTAGACTATAGACTAGACTATAGACTAGACTATAGACTAGACTATAGACTAGACTATAGACTAGACTATAGACTAGACTATAGACTAGACTATAGACTAGACTATAGACTAGACTATAGACTAGACTATAGACTAGACTATAGACTAGACTATAGACTAGACTATAGACTAGACTATAGACTAGACTATAGACTAGACTATAGACTAGACTATAGACTAGACTACAGACTAGACTATAGACTAGACTATAGACTAGACTATAGACTAGACTATAGACTAGACTATAGACTAGACTATAGACTAGACTATAGACTAGACTATAGACTAGACTATAGACTAGACTATAGACTAGACTATAGACTAGACTATAGACTAGACTATAGACTAGACTATAGACTAGACTACTATAGACTAGACTATAGACTAGACTATAGACTAGACTATAGACTAGACTATAGACTAGACTATAGACTAGACTATAGACTAGACTATAGACTAGACTATAGACTAGACTATAGACTAGACTATAGACTAGACTTTAGACTAGACTATAGACTAGCCTCTACTACAGTCTGGATTGCAACCTGGACTATAGCCTGTACTATTGTCTGGACTATAGCCTATAGCCAGGACTATAGTCTAGCCTGGACTATGGTCTGGACTAAAGCCTGGACAATAGCCTGGTCTATAGCCTGGACTATAGTCTGGGCGATAGTCTGATCTATAGCCTGGACAATAGTCTGATCTTTAGCCTGGACAATAGTTTGATCTATAGTCTGGACTATAACCTTGACTATAGCCTGTATATTCTATATACTAGAATATACTACACTGTATATTCTGTATATTCTGGACTATATAGTCTGTACTATAGACTAGCCAATAATCTGCGGACTTAATTTTTAGTATAGGTTAGCCCATAGTCTGTTCAGTTTTCTAGTCTTGTGTCTATAGCAACTCGCTGTTCTGTGGATGACTCACTTCTAGTATAACTTTCAAAATACTAATATTTCACCAAAATGTTTTTTTTTTGTTTGCAAAGTTCAAACTCCAAAATATTTTGATTGTTTCCTTTAATTATTACCAACCTAGTTTTTCAAATTGCTGTTGTCTTGACTGCAATTGAATGTTTTTTTTATGAAATATATTTTCCAGTTCATTAACAATTAAATTTTAGCTTCACCTTTTTTTATGTGTTTTTTTTTATAAAAATGTGGCAATACGTTTTTTCTTAATATTATTTCATGTGAATTTATTTTTATTTTAAAGTTTAAAAACAACAACAAAAAACTCATTTACTAAATATTTTTAGGCCTACATTTATTTCCCTCAAAAAAGACGCCATTCATAAATTTATTTGTTTATCGTGTTTAATTTAAGATTGCATGTCAGCTGTAGATGGATGGACCAAAACAATTTGTAGAGACAAAATTATACTAATGTCAACACTTTGTTGGTTTTGTCAAGTTTTAAATTACACAACTTTTCTTTGTTTACGTTTTAATTTTCTTATAAACAAAAAAAATGTTGCGTGAGCAATTAGTGTTAAACAAATGGTCTTTCTTTAATTGTGGATAAAATTATCCAAAAAAGATTTCACTTACCGGTTTCTGTAATAGTCTTTTAATACGATCATTTGGGTTAACATTCTTTTTGCCTCTAACCAAAACATATATGGTACCAATATCGGGTGTAGCATCTAATAAAGCCTCGATTAAAACGGTACCCAAAAAGCCAGTGCCTCCAGTAATGAATACATTTTTATGGGCAAAGAAATCAGCAATAGTTCTCACATCATTCGTAGTTTTGTCATGAACCGCCGGTAATGGTTTCAAATTAAGATCATGACTCCTGTCATGATCATTCATGACCGTCATATCGGTATAATTAATATTTGTTGGAGGAGCCAATTTGCTAAGATTAATGTTAATAGTTGGTATTGAAGATATTGGAGTAATAAAACTGCAAGAAATTCAAAATAAGGAAATAATTAAAAATAAAATAAATAATAATTAAAAATTTATTTAAAAAAAAATTTTAACTTCCGTTCTCAAATAAAGAAGATTTATTTAAGTAAAAGACCCCAAAATAGTTTCAAAGACATCTCAGTCTTATCTCTTATTCTTAGTTGTGTTTTGTTGTTATTTTTTTCCTTGTTAATTTAACATTGACAATTTCACATGCATTTTGTTTGTTGTCAGTTGCTAAAGGTGTTTTGTTTTTATTTTTTTTTAATTTTTGTAAACTGACCTTCTTTTCATTATTGTTTTTTTTTTAATAAATTCATATGTCTTGTCCGTTTGTTTTGTTTATTAATAAACCGTTAACAAATATATTAATTATATGCAGTCTCTCTTCTTCTTTTTCAAAAAAATGCATAAAATTTTGTAAAACATTTTATACCAACGACATTTTGTTTGCTTTATGAAAACGTAAAATGAATTCAGTATTGACGAGTTTTACTGTTAATTTATGCCGTTGCTAACTGCTGTAGATGTTTAAAACGTCTGCCTCTTTTTCAAGCATTCTATTTAAAAATCTATTCTAATGCCAAGTCTAAAGTCTACTCATAAGTCAAGTGTAGTCTAGGCTAAAGTTCGTTTGCAACTTTAACGTAAAATATAGTCAATAATCTAATCTAAAGTCTAGTTCAAGGGCAGTTTATTCTACTTCAAAATATGGACAAATTTCTCGTTATAGTTTGCAATAGTCTAACCTAAACTCCTGTCTAAGGTCCAGTTTAAAGTTTAGTCTAAAATCTAGCCTAAAGTATAGTCTAAAGTACAGTCTAAAGGCTAGTCTAAAGTCTAATCTAAAGTCTAGTTTAATGTATAGTCTAAAGTCTAGTCTAAAGTCCAGTCTAAAGTCTAGTTTAAAGTCTAGTCTAAAGTATAGTCTAAGTATAGTTTAAAGTTTATCTAAAGTATTGTCTAAAGTTTGGTCTAAAGTCTAGTCTTAAGTATAGTCTAAAGCCCAGTCTTAAGTCTGGTCTAAAGTCTAGTCTAAAGTCTAATCTATAGTCTTGTCTAAAGTCTAGTCTAAAGTCTAGTCTAAAGTCTAGTCTAAAGTCTAGTCTAAAGTCTAGTCTAAAGTCTAGTCTAAAGTCTAGTCTAAAGTTTAGTCTAAAGTCTAGTCTAAAGTCTAGTCTAAAGTCTAGTCTAAAGTCTAGTCTAAAGTCTAGTCTAAAGTCTAGTCTAAAGTCTAGTCTAAAGTCTAGTCTAAAGTCTAGTCTAAAGTCTAGTCTAAAGTCTAGTCTAAAGTCTAGTCTAAAATCTAGTCTAAAGTCTAGTCCAAAGTCTAGTCTAAAGTCTAGTCTAAAGTCTAGTCTAAAGTCTAATCTAAAGTCTAGTTTAAAGTCTAGTCTAAAGCCTACTCTAAAGTCTAGTCTATAGTCTAGCCTAAAGTCTAGTTTAAAGTGTAGTCTAAAGTCTAGTCTAAAGTTTAGTCTAAAGTCTAGTCTAAAGCCTAATCTAAAGTCTGGTCCAAAGTATAATATATAAGTCTAGCCTATAGTCTAGTATAAAATCAAGTCTAAAGTCTAGTCTAAAGTCCAGTCAAAAGTCTAGTCTAAATCTAGTCCATCGTCTAGTCTAAAGTCTATTCTAAAGTCTAATCTAAAGTTTAATCTTAAGTCTAGTCTAATGTCTAGTCTATAGTCTAGTCTATAGTCTAGTCTATAGTCTAGTCTATGGTCTAGTCTATGGTCTAGTCTATAGTCTAGTCTATGGTCTAGTCTATAGTCTTGTCTATAGTCTAGTCTATAGTCTAGTCTATAGTCTAGTCTATAGTCTAGTCTATAGTCTAGTCTATAGTCTAGTCTATAGTCTAGTCTATAGTCTAGTCTATAGTCTAGTCTATAGTCTAGTCTATAGTCTAGTCTATAGTCTAGTCTATAGTCTAGTCTATAGTCTAGTCTATAGTCTAGTCTATAGTCTAGTCTAGTCTAGTCTATAGTCTAGTCTATAGTCTAGTCTATAGTCTAGTCTATAGTCTAGTCTATAGTCTAGTCTATAGTCTAGTCTATAGTCTAGTCTATAGTCTAGTCTATAGTCTAGTCTATAGTCTAGTCTATAGTCTAGTCTATAGTCTAGTCTATAGTCTAGTCTATAGTCTAGTCTATAGTCTAGTCTATAGTCTAGTCTATAGTCTAGTCTATAGTCTAGTCTATAGTCTAGTCTATAGTCTATTCTATAGTCTAGTCTATAGTCTAGTCTATAGTCTAGTCTATAGTCTAGTCTATAGTCTAGTCTATAGTCTAGTCTATAGTCTAGTCTATAGTCTAGTCTATAGTCTAGTCTATAGTCTAGTCTATAGTCTAGTCTATAGTCTAGTCTATAGTCTAGTCTATAGTCTATTCTATAGTCTAGTCTATAGTCTAGTCTATAGTCTAGTCTATAGTCTATTCTATAGTCTAGTCTATAGTCTAGTCTATAGTCTATAGTCTAGTCTATAGTCTAGTCTATAGTCTAGTCTATAGTCTAGTCTATAGTCTAGTCTATAGTCTAGTCTATAGTCTAGTCTATAGTCTAGTCTATAGTCTAGTCTATAGTCTAGTCTATAGTCTAGTCTATAGTCTAGTCTATAGTCTAGTCTATAGTCTAGTCTATAGTCTAGTCTATAGTCTAGTCTATAGTCTAGTCTATAGTCTAGTCTATAGTCTAGTCTATAGTCTAGTCTATAGTCTAGTCTATAGTCTAGTCTATAGTCTAGTCTATAGTCTAGTCTATAGTCTAGTCTATAGTCTAGTCTATAGTCTAGTCTATAGTCTAGTCTATAGTCTAGTCTATAGTCTAGTCTATAGTCTAGTCTATAGTCTAGTCTATAGTCTAGTCTATAGTCTAGTCTATAGTCTAGTCTATAGTCTAGTCTATAGTCTAGTCTATAGTCTAGTCTATAGTCTAGTCTATAGTCTAGTCTATAGTCTAGTCTATAGTCTAGTCTATAGTCTAGTCTATAGTCTAGTCTATAGTCTAGTCTATAGTCTAGTCTATAGTCTAGTCTATAGTCTAGTCTATAGTCTAGTCTATAGTCTAGTCTATAGTCTAGTCTATAGTCTAGTCTATAGTCTAGTCTATAGCCTAGTCTATAGTCTAGTCTATAGTCTAGTCTATAGTCTAGTCTATAGTCTAGTCTATAGTCTAGTCTATAGTCTAGTCTATAGTCTAGTCTATAGTCTAGTCTATAGTCTAGTCTATAGTCTAGTCTATAGTCTAGTCTATAGTCTAGTCTATAGTCTAGTCTATAGTCTAGTCTATAGTCTAGTCTATAGTCTAGTCTATAGTCTAGTCTATAGTCTAGTCTATAGTCTAGTCTATAGTCTAGTCTATAGTCTAGTCTATAGTCTAGTCTATAGTCTAGTCTATAGTCTAGTCTATAGTCTAGTCTATAGTCTAGTCTATAGTCTAGTCTATAGTCTAGTCTATAGTCTAGTCTATAGTCTAGTCTATAGTCTAGTCTATAGTCTAGTCTATAGTCTAGTCTATAGTCTAGTCTATAGTCTAGTCTATAGTCTAGTCTATAGTCTAGTCTATAGTCTAGTCTATAGTCTAGTCTATAGTCTAGTCTATAGTCTAGTCTATAGTCTAGTCTATAGTCTAGTCTATAGTCTAGTCTATAGTCTAGTCTATAGTCTAGTCTATAGTCTAGTCTATAGTCTAGTCTATAGTCTAGTCTATAGTCTAGTCTATAGTCTAGTCTATAGTCTAGTCTATAGTCTAGTCTATAGTCTAGTCTATAGTCTAGTCTATAGTCTAGTCTATAGTCTAGTCTATAGTCTAGTCTATAGTCTAGTCTATAGTCTAGTCTATAGTCTAGTCTATAGTCTAGTCTATAGTCTAGTCTATAGTCTAGTCTATAGTCTAGTCTATAGTCTAGTCTATAGTCTAGTCTATAGTCTAGTCTATAGTCTAGTCTATAGTCTAGTCTATAGTCTAGTCTATAGTCTAGTCTATAGTCTAGTCTAGTCTATAGTCTAGTCTATAGTCTAGTCTATAGTCTAGTCTATAGTCTAGTCTATAGTCTAGTACATAGTCTAGTCTATAGTCTAGTCTATGGTCTAGTCTATAGTCTAGTCTATAGTCTAGTCTATAGTCTAGTCTATAGTCTAGTCTATAGTCTAGTCTATAGTCTAGTCTATAGTCTAGTCTATAGTCTAGTCTATAGTCTAGTCTATAGTCTAGTCTATAGTCTAGTCTGTAGTCTAGTCTATAGTCTAGTCTAAAGTCTAGTCTATAGTCTAGTCTATAGTCTAGTCTATAGTCTAGTCTATAGTCTAGTCTATAGTCTAGTCTATAGTCTAGTCTATAGTCTAGTCTATAGTCTAGTCTATAGTCTAGTCTATAGTCTAGTCTATAGTCTAGTCTATAGTCTAGTCTATAGTCTAGTCTATAGTCTAGTCTATAGTCTAGTCTATAGTCTAGTCTATAGTCTAGTCTATAGTCTAGTCTATAGTCTAGTCTATAGTCTAGTCTATAGTCTAGTCTATAGTCTAGTCTATAGTCTAGTCTATAGTCTAGTCTATAGTCTAGTCTATAGTCTAGTCTATAGTCTAGTCTATAGTCTAGTCTATAGTCTAGTCTATAGTCTAGTCTATAGTCTAGTCTATAGTCTAGTCTATAGTCTAGTCTATAGCCTAGTCTATAGTCTAGTCTATAGTCTAGTCTATAGTCTAGTCTATAGTCTAGTCTATAGTCTAGTCTATAGTCTAGTCTATAGTCTAGTCTATAGTCTAGTCTATAGTCTAGTCTATAGTCTAGTCTATAGTCTAGTCTATAGTCTAGTCTATAGTCTAGTCTATAGTCTAGTCTATAGTCTAGTCTATAGTCTAGTCTATAGTCTAGTCTATAGTCTAGTCTATAGTCTAGTCTATAGTCTAGTCTATAGTCTAGTCTATAGTCTAGTCTATAGTCTAGTCTATAGTCTAGTCTATAGTCTAGTCTATAGTCTAGTCTATAGTCTAGTCT